TTGCCTAAGTCCTGTGCAACAGAACCATACAGATTAGTTGCAGGAATTATCAGGGAGAAAAGGTGCTGCTTGTGAAGTCTCTACTGGAAACTGGACTATCTTGATGTAGTATCCTTGTCGTTCATTGTCTCGTTTCTCTCTTTGTGAAATGGATCTCTGTTTTCTTTTTCACCATTTTATGTTTTCCTTTTTGTCTTCCCTCCCCTGCTTTTTTTGTCATTGTTGATACATTAAACTATGAGGCTATGGAATAAAATAATGCAAAGTTTGGGCTGAGGAAGGAGGGAGCCCAGGCAGAGTGGAGGTAGACCCTGGTAGGGTAGATAAGAGGCAAAATGAACAACTATTTTATAGTTGCCAAGTCTTACACAAATTTAGTTCAGCAACATTTTTCTGGCATAGCCAAATAGTCTTTCTGGGCTAGCTAGAGTTAACGTAAACACATTTAAATGGCTAATACTCCATTTTCACATTTGTCTTTGCAGGTTAGGCAAATTCAAATGCTGCTTTTCTGTTTCTCTGTCCTTCCCTGCCATGTTTTTAATCTCGCTCCTTCTATGGTATTTTGTGCCTCTATGTCAAACAAAGTACTGTTCAAAACTGTGTTGCCTTCTACCCAACATGGCACTTATCCTTCTGAAAAGATCACAGCTGCGATAAGCAGGCACTGACTGCCCCAGCCTATTCAACTAGGATGAAACATTAGGTAGAGTAGAATTAAGTGACAGGAGAGGGTTTTACTCAAGAAAGTAGTATCTGAGCCCTGTTTGAATTTAAGATGTATGATTAGTTCTGCTTGAGTAAGGATAATGTGGATAGCTGTAAGTAAAGAGCAGTTTCACCTCATGCAAGGATATGAGCAATTTCCATTGAATAAGAATTTTTCTGCATGCCCTTTTCCTCCCCCTTCCCCCCCACCCCCCCATTTTGTCAGTTTTGTAAATTTTGTACTGTTGGAGTTACTCTTCAACATGTGAAAATCCTGTTGAAGTCATAAGGATGTGGCTACAAAGGCAACAACAGTTCAAACGAGGTAAAAGAAGCTGCCACTGCAGGCGAATCTGGCTCTGGTTTATGTATGACTGACTACTTTGGCTTTATATAGCTTTTTTGTGTTTGTTTTTATTCTACTCTGGGCTGTCTAAGTATTTCACAGGCAGTTAACTCCCACAGAATGATTGCGAGTCTTTATTTGGTGTGTTTTACAAAGAGTCAGACCGAGGAGCTGGAAAGTTGAATGATTTGACCAAAATCCCCCTCTCAGTATGAGTGTTAAAGCCTATAACGAAATCCCAGTCTGATTCAGAGTCACGTGCTCCTGCATGTGTCCTCAGTAATCACCCTGACCATCTGATTTCGCCAGCTACAAGCTTCTCTGGCTTTTCTGTATCAAGTTCCACTGGTACAACTGCCTTGGAACGCATCTGGGTTCAATTCGGTCATATTGTGCAGTGATAAGCGTTGCATGCAGGTTGATCAGAAAATATGTGGCTGGTAAACACCAGATTCCACCTTTCCTGAATGATTAGCTGGCTTTTTGAAGTCCCAATGATTTTAATTTGGCTTGGAGTCAGTGAGTAAGAGTATGCAAAGCCTTAGCCAAAGTACCTATTTATTTATTTAAATTTTATCAGCACATATTTCTTCAAAGAAGAGTACCTATCTCTTTGTCTAAGCGCTTTTTAATAAATGTATAAGTATATAAATGTATAACTACCGAGTGAATCAGCTTGCATTTTCTCCATTGTCTCATAGATGACAGCAGTTAATAGAAACAGTGTTTTTCCTTGGTGAATAGGGATTATGGAGTATTCCTGACTTGTTGGAATGGTGTTGTCTGTTCAGTTTCATTCTTCTTTTTTCATTTCAGTTTTTTTTTTTTTTTAAAGGAACACAGTTTGCTTTCCCTGTGTTTTGTTCTGTCTATTTTCAAAACACAAGTTTGGTTTTATTCATCAAGAAAGGATATGAGCAGATTAATAATTTCTAGCCCCAAATCACTCGCTCTATCTGCTCATCTTCTGGACTTGGCTGTTTAGAACTTGTCAAGGAAAAATAATTTTTCCTTTTTTTCCCCAGGTTCTCTGGAGCAGAATGATTGTCCATGTTTGTGGTTGTTTCACATATTTGCAAAATGGATGCTAAAATTCTAATACACAGTAATATAGATTTTCAAAAACCCTTTGCTTTTTCTATTGTAATTTTTTTACTTGTGAGAGACACATTTAATGCGGATGCTTTTTTGTTTTCTTTCTTAAGGAGTGGTTGCATAATCTAATGCTACGCTGAAAAATACTTATTCAAGGCACCAGAAACATCCTGTTTAATGCTTATGTTGAACTGTATATGGTAAATTAATTTATTGCATTTTTAAGGAAGCTGTCCTTAACTGTGATATACTGGAGTATTTAAAAGATTGCAATTAAAGTTGCCATTAATCCTTGAATATTCACATTATATAGGATAGGATTAAGTACACTGAAAAATTAACATGTGTGCAAGTATACCTTTGCAGGTGAAATACTGTGTCTGTTGTGTATTGTGAGACACTGACACAGGTTGCCCAAAGAAGCTGTGGTTGCCCCATCCCTGGCAGTGTTCAAGGCCAGGCTGGATGGGGCTTGAGCAACCTGGTCTAGTGGCAGGTGTCCCTGCGCATCGCAGAGGGTTGGAACTAGATGAGCTTTAAGGTCACTGCCAACACAGACCATTCTGTGATTCTGTGATGATATTTTCAAATTTTCCCATGAGCACTTTCTTCAGCTATGTACTAAACAGTACTGGACTTCAGCTGTATACCAAACAGTGCTGGAAATGGTTTGCAAAGGAAAATCATGGTGTAAGTTGGGTGCTCTAAGATACAAGCTTTTAAAAATAGAAGGTAACTCCTCATAGGTTTCTGTGCGTACAATTTATAAAATGAGATTAAATTATGCTGCTGCTGTTGGCGGAGTTATTTTCCATTCGAATGCTACGTACTTAACTGAACCGTAGGAGAAGGAGCAGGCGCCTTTCCCGCAGTACTGGGTCCCTGGTGTCAAACTTGAGTCGAATGCGATCGTGCGTGTGATTTTTCACACCAGTGCAGGTGAAGGGATGGGCTCAACTGTCCTGCTTCGCTGCAGGTTTTGTTGTTAACAGGGGACCAGGCCACCTGGAGATCCCCATGGCCATGGGGATGTTTTGTTTCAAGGACTCACACAGGCAACATGCAGGATTGATAGTTTCCTCACAAGGCTTTGAATTTGTCTCCAAACTTATTGGAGTTTCTTCTTTCAAACAGACGTTTGCAGACTATTTTTGTAATTTTGGAAGTTGTCCTCATAATCCCTTTTACTAATTTCTTTCCTGAAATCAACAGCTCTAGTTTTTTAGATCTTTTTTTTTTTCTTTTAAGTATGTAGACCATAGTCATGGCTAGGGTTATGAGTCCTTGAAGTCCCTCTGTTGTGGCAATATCTTTTTCAATAGTGTGCCATGTGTATTCAGTTTTTTATCTCTATAAGAACAAAAATACTTTCTGAATTACACTGGTTTCTCACATAAATACTTTTTCTTTTTTTCTGTTTTTTACACAACTGCTCCAGCACATGGACTAAAGTAGTGAACTTGTAGACTGATACCCAAATCTCTTTCTTGAGTAAATACCATTAATTTATAAGCCAGTTAAGTATTCGAGTGCATTGCATTTGTCAATATTGACTTTTTCCTGCTACTATGTTTCTTACTCTCTTAGGTTAGTTAAGTGTATCTGAATCTCCTCTGGTCTAGACTTACCTGCACATTTTTGTGTCATTTGCAGGTTTGTAGCTTTTCTGGTAACTCCTTTTTCTAATGACTAACACATACGTAGCTACCGTGTATGCCAGAACAATGTGATTCCCACCAGTTCCTACCTGTTCAGCTTTCCACAAAGAAAAATGTAGTTTATTTCTAATCTCCGTTTTCTGTCCAGGTTCTTGAGAAATTTTTATCCCTTCTAACACAGCTGTCTAGTTACACCAAATGCCTTTCTGGAAATCCATATAAACCATTTCTTCTTTATTTTTCTTATGTTGCATTAAGAATTGTATCAGATTTGTGAGATACAATTTACGTTTCCTGAAACTGCGGAGAACAAATTCTACCTGTGATCTGTGTGTCTTCTTGTGTTTTAATGATTATTTAAACTAAATTGCTGTCTTACCTCAAAATATATATGCTAGTCTAAAAGTTCCCTGAATGAATCCCGTAAGGCTTTTCAACGTGTAAGTGCAACATTCACCACCGTGTAGTCCTTAAATAGAGTCACTACTGTAAGAATATTTTCTTAGGGGTTCAGTCAGCTTATTCTTAATTTTTTCTAATATTTTTGACTGTATATATCCCCTGTGGCTTACTGACTTAATGCCTTTTTAGTTTCTCTGTTATTTTTTTCCTTCTCCCTTCCTGTCTTTTGGGTACCTATGTCCTTGGTGGCATCTCATCTTTTTTTATGTAGAAACAATAGGTTCAGGGTAAGTTTCTTTGTAATATGTAGTTGGCAAAAACTGATGCAATAAATTGTTTATCTTTTGAGCAACACCCTCATTTTCTTTAATTACATCTTCACCTCCTCTAATCCAAAAGACCTATTTATTCTTCCTTAACCGTCTTGGTGGTTATTGCGTGGTTTTTACCCACAGGTGTTTACTTCAGAGCCCATTTTAGGCCTTTGTTTCTTTCTTACACAATGAATCTTATAATCTGCTTTGTTGGCTTCACAAACATTGTATTTCCATATTCTGCATAACTTTGCATTGGATTCCTATAGGTGGAATGGCTGTAGGGCACTCTAAAATCGTACAACAGGTCTATAAACTGAGAAAGTGCTGTGCTGGTTTGAAGAGGACATATTTCATTTTCAGGATGCAAAATTCACCTTAGCACTTGAAGTGCATACATTCCCCCCTTGCTTGCAGTCTCTAACATTAGGTTTTGAATTTCTTATGTTAATACATTGGTTTCTTCTGATTTAACAGGTTTTAGATGCAGGAAGACTGAAAGAATATGGCGAACCTTACATTTTGCTGCAAGAACAAGATGGCTTGTTTTACAAAATGGTGCAACAAGTGGGCAAGACTGAAGCGGCTTCTCTGATTGAAACAGCAAAACGGGTAATTTTAGAAGAAGGGATAATTAAGTTTGTCTCTGCAGATTGTTTATCTCAAGTTTGCATGTTCAGTGTTATAATAAGCTTTGCACCAAAGAATCTGTTGGCTTTGAAAGGCAAAGCCGTCATTTTCCATGCTTTTTTTAGTGGGATACACACAGACTTCCAAATGATAAGTGTATTTATATACCCTGAGTTTACAGTCTGTTTGCATTTCTTGCATCCTTCTGTATGTACACAAAACAGTAAGTGTAAATAGTATATGACATACTCACTTGTGCTGGGCGCTGGTCTTGGAAAAACTGGCCCCAAAAAATGTTAGGGCTGCAAAGTCCAGTATTTATCTGTTATTTCTATATTGTTTGAAAGGGCCCATCAAGTTTTAGTTCGAGGTTCAGCATGTGCATTATATTATGGCCTCTGGGGTGGGAACACGCTCTTACTTTTGTGCTTTCTCTTACATCGTTCTTGTACCCTTGCTCTGTTGTGCACATAGGATGAGCAGAGCTCAATTAAGAAACAGCTGTGAATGTTTTGTTGCCTCCTTGTTCCCTACAAGGCTCTGTGCCTGATTTACTGCTTACTATTCAAATCCTACTCTTGAGTACAGAATTATGAATGTAATTGTGAGCATTCCTCTGGCAATCAAAGTGTTTAAGAAACATCAATGGATTAACTTTCATAATATGCCTTTGAGGTCTCGTATCATCTCCACTTTTCAGATGGAAAGCTGAAGCAGAGATAAGATGATAAAATAGTGACCTGTGATTGATGACTAGCTCTTGGCTTGATTTCTTTTTTTCTTGCTAATTTGCCACACAGGATGTCCAGAGCAAGGTTTTACTTCTCAGTGTCAATGAAGTTTCAGAACTGCTTTAGTTGAGACTGGCAGTGCTCAGTTTGGCAGAGACTGGCTCCATAGTCATGTAACTTTACTTTCAACATGTAAGTGAGGCATGTAGCAACCTAAGAGAGCCTTTTCAAGGGAAGAGGCAAAGGCATATCTCTAGTCCTTGTGGTTTCCTCTCTTCAAGTTGCTGGATGTGTGGAGCAGAGCTAGTGGAACGCAAACTCAAAACTGTTTGAGGAGACCAGTGGATGGGAAGCAACACATAAAGACAGGAAACAAAGTATCAGGTGCTTGGCTATTTCCTAGTAAAAATAGTTACATTTCCAGTAAGTTGGAGGAAAATGAAAAATGGTGCTGTCGGGAAGGCTGCGTGCCTGTGTCTGGATGCTATTTTACTGGACTTTTTGAAGATTCGGGAAGAGGTTTCTGTGCCTGTTCATATCCTTAGAAATTTTTCTAGAGCTGCTGAAACCTGATTTTCTTTTTTTTAAAGAGTTTTTCAAGTGAAGCTTTCTGGCTAAGAGCATACACTATAAATTAAAGTGTGGCACTAACTGCAGAACTGAGGAAACAGCTTTGTCCTTAATTAGGCTGTGTAATGAGTCCTGCTGTCCTCCTCCATTGCTGCAATGTAGCTTCTTATATTTCATTACTAGAAAAGAATGAGTTAGTCATGTTTTTTATGGTATGTGTATGGCAGTTTGGACCTTATGTAAATGATGTTTAAAAGGATAACTTCAAATTCATTGACCAGTGTTTGTCTGTGAAGGGCAGCTTCCTAAGGCTTGATCGTTGGACCGGCAAGAGGTGAGGTTGTCCAGCTGTCATCTTTAGAGATATAGCCATGTCATGCTGTCTCTTCTTCCTTCCCTGCAGCCCTTCTCAATTGCACAATTGCATTCAAAGATAATTCAAAATATATAAAAATAATTGCCTGATGTTACTTGCCCATATAGTCATCTGCAGTTCCCACATCAATGTTATGTGATTTTGTACAGGAAGGGAAGAGATCCAGGAACCAGTCTCTGCTGAAATGTGGTTTGATGAAAAGGTTTGCTAACTCCCAGGCTAGAAGGCAGATACAAGCTTTAGCATCTGCCAAGAATGCAAAGCATGGTTCCTATCCACACTCAGCCCAAAAATATGGGAATCAAGAGACTATCTCCAGTCAGCAGCTACCCAGAAGCACAGACAGTTCTTTCTGTTTGAAGAACTTGGACATTATTTCGAGGTTTTTGTTATTGCTGTCCCTTGTGCTTCATGCATACTTTCAGAGAAGTTGCTTAGTCAGAAGAGCTAATTCCAATGGCTTTTCTTTTAACGCTAGTAAGTCTGTTACATGTATTGCTTTTGGTCTCATACATTCCTCCTGTGGTTACTAAGAACTGTTTTTATGAAGAACAGCTTTTTTTCTGCTGTTGAAAAACAGCATGTTGCACATAAAAAGAAATGGTAATATGACATATATACATATTTTTCAAAAGGCATTACAGTGGGTTGCTAAGTATAATGGTTTGGAATGTGGCCATGCTTTGGCAATGTTTATTTGATTTATTGCATTTTGAGCCTGGATCTTGCGCAGAATGAACTTGTACCAAGAGCTTCTTTCAGTAAGGTGAGACCTTAAATGCATTTCCTGGAACAGTATGGATTCTGCATTTGTCCTTTAAGTATCAGTGAAGGGGGCTGCACGTCTTAAACTGGAAGACTGCTTGGACATGTTCGAAGAAACCTAATTTTCAAGAAGAATCTTGAGGGCATCTTAGCCAAGCATTGCAAGATAGAGCTATTGCTGGAACCTCAGCTCAGGCTTCTGAGTTGATCCAACGCTGCTATTCATGTGTCTTTCTTGGTCACTCAGTATCCCCTTTTTTTGTGCAACTGTCAAAGAAAGCAACGCAGGCACAGCTCAAACTGGAGACTGCCGAGTACGTATTAACTAGCCTGTGAGCCTGACTGCAGTGGAGTTACGCTTGGCATAATGAGACCGTGTTTCTATCTGATCAGTTTACAAGAAGCTGTTAACAAAAAATCCCATGGGAAAGTGGGAAACAGTCACCAAACAGTTAAAAAGCAAAAAAACCTCGCTCAATTATTCAGGTAAACAAAAGTTGGTGTGTTCTCTATGCTCTTGGCAGCATTGAGAGAGGCTTTTCCGCAAGCTTCAGTGGCATCAGGATAGGGCTGGTTTTCTGTCAGTCAGTTTTTTGAGTACTTAGAGGGAAAAATAAGGGTTATTTTATTTTATTTTAAAGCTATGACAGATGTGTAAATATTAAAATACTAGGTGTTATCTCACCTCAGTGATTACTTTTAAAAAGGTTGCAGCTCTGTTGGCAGTGGAAGAGACTTGTATAAAGGCTTGGGCATTTAATATCTTGAGGGATTGGGCTCAGGGGAGGAATTGCAATGAGACAGTTGAAAAGCAGCTGCCGTTTCATTACATCTCTAGTAATGTGCCAAGGTTTTCTATTAACTTTCCATTAAAAAAAAAAAAAAAATCCCATTCAAAAGCTGCACTAAAAGTATGCCAAAGTTTTATGTTTTAAACCAGGAACAGGATGGGAATACACAACTGAGGCTGCTGTCTCTGCAGTGTGTGTGCGGGCAGGCGCCTGATTAACTTTCCTCAGTTGCATCCGATCGTGGCTGGTTACTGAGGAATGCCTTTTAACAGGACTTCCAGTTCCTTTGTTGATTCAAATCAGACCTTAATATTCTTTGAGAGTTGAAACGATGCATATATCCTGCACTAGCGTGTGTGCACAAAAGACGACAGTGGTATTTACAAGAATGTGTTTATAGAATGACTTATTTCTTTTTTATCCCACGTGTCTTAGACATGTATTCATACATATGAAAAGGACATTATTATCAAACTAACTGAACTTTGTTGACAACACTCTCAACTATAAATTGGAGAAATGTTTCATAAGCCATAGTCAAAGCAGTCTGACTGTGAGACCTAACTCGTGACACGTGTCAGCTTCAGAAAGATAGTGTATTTTCTGTTTTTAAAGACTCAAACAAAACTTTTCACATTCCTCTTTGAAAAAATTGCATTTGAAGTCCTTTTTCACCCAAACACATTTTTAGATAAGAGCACAGAAGTCTTGACATTATTTCATTTTGTTATGCGCATCTGTCAAGGAACAGAGATATGATACAGCTACTAAAAACTGATGATTGTGGAACAGTGAAACTTGACAGCATTTCATTTCCTTTATGTTCTGATTATACATTTATCAGGAAACCTGTATCTCTTCTAGTTGAGCTAGAAATTGGTAGAATTCAGGAACTCAAAGGCTTGGCAAAGAACTGTCCTATTATTTGGTATCATCTTACATTTTAGAGAAGTTGCTTGGTTGAGTCATTGTTAAAGCTTTTGCTTCTTCTTTCATTATTGTGGTTCACTATCCAGAGATCACATTTCTATAGGCCCTATAACTGCTCTGCAGCACAAATTAAACGCTGGGATATTTCATACATATACCTTGAAGTTTCAATGGTTGTCAATCATAGTTTGTAAAATATAGGGATTACAACCTGATATTAACATCCAAATCCATTGTGTTCATTTTATGTGTGAAAATGAGAAACCCTTGTGCAGACGCAAGATTTCACTGCTTCTTTGTCATCCTGTTTTTAATTTATCTTCATGTTTTGAGCTAGTAAAATGATTTTACTTATCAGTTTAATGTAAAGTGATAAAACATATCTATTTATCTGAATTACCAGAATTTGAGCAGATCTACAGGTTGTGTGGGATTTTTCTCATGCTTTGTTATAATGGAAGATCATATAACAATTTTACTAATTTTCCGGTGATGCAGAGTTACTGAATGCCACTAACCTGAAGTTCCTTATGGGATTCCTTAAGGACATGCATTTATCTCCAGAAATTTTATTTGAAATTAAAAAGGTGTTTGATGCATAGTTACTCACAGGATCTGATATTTTCCTAGGTGTACTTCAGCAAGAATTACCCTGAAGTTGTTCAGAACGGTCAGCTTGCCACGGACTCCTCCTTGGATCCTTCCTCAGGATTATGCATAAACGAAACTGCACTGTGATTCCTGATACCCGAAACTGTTTTCCATAGAATGTAAACCTTAGATCATCTAAACTCAGTGACAGTGTTTGCAAGTGTCAGCGGGAGAGGAAAGGGAGGGGGGGCGATTCTTTGCACTGGACATCCTTCGTATTTAATACTGAGAAGAACATTTTTACTTTCCCTCTTTAATTTCAGTGCAATATGTTTTCCTTTCCAACTAATTCTGCTTGTATTGCTAAGGAAATTAGGCAGACTGGGTTTTTATTTGAAAGTTATGTGGTAGAGATCTCTTTTATTTAAACAGGTGCAGGACACCTGACAAGTCTAGGGTGTGTATTTGGAGCTTACTAAAAAATTGGAATGTGTCCTTTTTCGGAAATATTTTGAGAGCAAACAAAACTAAATATTTTCAGTGTCACTTTAGCATGACAGCTATGTCTAAACAGCAGATTTGGTAATGTACAACTTAGTTGTCTAGTGCAGCTGTCTTTCTTCCTGTCATAAGTAGCTATGTAGGTTGGTAGAAAAAGGATTGAACAAGCCAAAAATACTTTTTCCTTTTGATAGCAAAAATTACTTTATACTTATTTTTTGATAAATGATTCAAATAATACTGTTCAAGATGAATGTAAATATTAAGTTTTATTTTGCTAAAATCCAAATGCTGAAAAATCAAATCTCAATCTTCCGTACTTTAGAAGAAAATCACCACATTTGCACTGAAAGGATATTTAAATAATTTAACATATATTCCTCTTTTTATCCAGGTTATCAAAGAAAAAAAGGTATTAAAATAACTTGAGGAAATGTTTGAATGACATGTCATTATACCTAAATACCATGCAGTACAAAGTTATCTTCAACACAACACATTGAAATGTATACATTATTTGCATTTATTGTGCCTTAATATTTGTGCCTTCAAGCCAAGCTGTAACTGCAGGGTTCACAACAAATTCATTAACTCTGTGTTAAAAATATGTAACCTTAGTATATTTAAAGTTTTGCATCGGGGTTCTGTTGAACTTGAGCTGTTTGAAGTTACCATCCTACTAGAAGAGGTAGGAAAGTACAACCTGTAGTTTTGAATGGCTGTTGCTGATAGCGAGAGGAATGCAGTGGGAGAGGGAGGTTTGGTATTCATAAGTTACATCCTGATTCAGCAAACAAAGGCACTGTTCCCATGCTTAAAAAGAAAAAAACCAGCGAGTGCTGTGCTGCTTCAGATTTTTTCATGTTTAGTGAGATACCTGCTCTTTGAGGTCCAGTAGAAAATAAATCTGTTCATCTTAACTGTTTAAAGGGCACAGAAGAGACTAAAAGGCAACAGTTCTCTTTGGGACATGGAAAATACTGTGCTTTTTAAAACCTACTGGAGATGCTTGCTATTATCTTTGTAAGAAAGACGAATGTTAACTTGCTCAGTGTTCACCCGGTGGTCTGAAAGTAAGGCAAACACGAATGTTTCTCGTTTCAAGCAGTTCTACCAGCAAGTAACTGATCCAAATACAAAATTACTCTCCTTGTCAAGAAGTAAATTGAGGCCAAAGTCTCTGTGCCTCAGTACAAGTGCTAATCTAGAAGGATGTCCTACTCACGAGTCAGCCCAGTGGCGAAAGGCAGAATCCTCGTTCCCCTGTGGTGAGGCTTGCTGTCCCGCTGTGAAATCCAGGGAGAGAGGGAAGACCACTTACTACCTGCAGGGCTACCAGCCAGCTTCCCCTTGTGGGTGGGGGAAACAAACATCAGGCATCTGGTTTGGCTGGTAGCATCCTCTTCTGTTAGCAGGAAGTTACAAAATGAAAGGCTCTTGTCCCTAGCCTTGGCAGGTTCTAGCACTTCTTGTGCATTGTGTAGTACCTTATGCTGCAGTAAATCCCACCAAGATCAGTGGTACTGAACTTCATGCAGTGATGTGCAGCATGAGGCTTGTACTGCATCCAGTGCTAAATAGCAGATGGTCAGGGACAGCTACGTGTCCCCAGAGCCATGTAGCAGATTGTCTCGTGTAAGCAGTGCTGCCACATCCACTTTTTCTGTATCACTTGGCCCTTGGTCTTCTCCAGGTTCATGCTGTCCACTTAATAGGCTTATCTAGTGTGTTTCATTGTGGTTTCCTTTTCTATTCAAATAGCCTGACATAAGAATAGAGCTATTCTGCGGCTCAGTAGAGTGATGTTTGTATTGCAGAGGTATGTGAAGATGTAGAGAAATGTTTTGACTGCATAAAGTCACATAGGATAATGCTGGGAGACTCTGTGGCATGAAGAAAGTTTAGCCTTGCATGGTCTTGTCTGTAACTGCCTTTTTGGAAGGACCTATGGTGTGAACCATGTCCAAACTGTGCTCAAGCTTTGCCATGGAGAGACCTGGCTGAAGTGGTCCAAAAGAGAGCTAGGGTGGGCTGACCAGTAAGATAGTGTAGACACTTAATGGAGTCTGGTGCTTGAGCTCATTTGTTTACCTTTTTTATTGAGCAGTGTGGGCATATCCAGAGTCTAACTGCGTTTTGCAGTAATGAGTTATTTTTATTCCAAGTAGTTACTTCTAACAAGAGAGTAAGTGTGATGTATAATACACTGAGACTTTTAAATACTCTTAGAGAACAGTACGTTCTCCTGGCCATATACCTTGAGTTTATATTTTTTTATCAGAACCAATGAGATATGCATGTGTAAACCAAGGGTATAATTACAGTTTTAGTTCATTTCAGCTCTGAAATGAATCTATGGTAAGTTATATTTCAGAGCAGAGCTCCAAAACGCTGGCTGCTGCAGACTCACTGGTATGAGACCCTGACAGATCTAGCTATCAGTCTCTAAGCTAGAATTAATTTCATCCTGTAGCTTTTTGAATGTGCACAAAAATGTTAGGTATCTCTGAAAATCCTGATCCTGCTCCTTCACATGTCTTGGCAGGACATTACTAGCTGTAGGTATCAAATATCAATATAAGAGAAAACAAAATCACACTTGAAACCCATAAATTGCTGGGTAGAACAACCGATGGTGAGTCATTCGTGTCTGTCATTGGCATTATACCACCTTTTTAGTTTAACAAGATTATTTTAATCAGGAAAGTTTTTTAGGTTCTTTGTTGGGTTTGTTGTTGATAGTTGCTTTGTTTAGGTGACTGTTGGGTCACCTTTTAAAGAAAAGTTCAAATAGTTCTGAATTTTCACTTTGACAGTTTTCATGTTTTATTTGAAAATGGCAAAGCTGGTTACTATGAACTACATTCCTTCCTGGGAATCTTGGGAAAAGAACTCACTCTTATGAGTTATTCAAGCTTTTAAAATACTTTTTCACCATGAGGTGCCTTAAAGTATTCCAGAGTCTTATGTCTAATAAGTATCATTTTATACAGTAATACTGAGAATTATCAGTTACAAAACTTGTTTATTTGGTGTCAAAGACTAGGAACAGCCTCTACTTCTGATCTCAAGAATTGTTCTTCAGATATTCGTTTTGGTGTATCTTTTCTCCACCTGTCCTCAGAATACCACTGGGAGAGTCAAAACCAACACAGTTCTCAAGGATAGGTTATCTTGTGGTTTGCAAATTTTAAAGGCAAAATCTCTTTAGTGAACTGAACCAGAGCTCATTTGCCAGAGAGGCTGGTCTTCTACAACGCTATTTTTACTGCCCTTTGGAAGAGGGAGGACCTTCTTCTGACCAATATCAGTAATGCTGGCTGCTTAAGTGATGTTGACTGTTTCTTTTAACCTTCCCAATACACGTGTAAAATAGGATTGCAGAAAGAATCAAAAGGGGACAAAAGATACAAATGTTACAGAAACTCCTGAAAATGCTGCTTTTTGTGTTGTCTGATACTTTGAAATATCTCACTCCAAAGTTTGCCTCTTTGGAAGAGGGTGGGGGAGAAAAAGTTGAAATCACTTATTTCCTGTGATGGTGATGAGCATCTGACACTTTAGCAGAAGAATGTGGCTTTCCATTGTATATGTTTTACATTGTGTAACAGTACACTTCTTTTTCATCTTTTTAACTCGGGTTTTGTGTTTGGTTTTTGCATTTGTGTCATAATTTGATTTTGGTATTGCTATGGAATGATTTCTTCTGTTGACGTCCATGTGACAGCTCCTGTCCTACAATAAAAGGCATTTCTCAGAAGCATGCAGGAGTCTGTCGTCATTGCGAATGTGTGGCTGGAGGCAGAAACACCAGGCTGAGCTCAGTCAGATCATGCCTGAAATCTCCAAACACCTCTTGGTGGTGTCACCAACTGCAAGAGCTGACAATCCTCCATCTGGAGGTAAAACACAGAGTAACATGTTCCAGCTTGGTTTTACCAGGCATCTGCAGTCTGAGATCTCTTGGATCACAATAGCAAACTTTCTGCTTCAATGGCAAGGGCTAAAAACTAATCCAAATTAAGTTTTAAAAATTGCAGTGGAAGAACCACTGCAGTTGCACAAGTGCTGATCGGGTACAGCCTCTGCCTCAAGCAGCTGGCAAGTGCAGTGGGCTGGACAGCCAAAAGGTGGAAAGCTAATGGACACAGCAGTGAAGTGGGTTAGCAGCACAACTCCAAAATCTGGTGCCATCTCTCAGTCCTGTACTTCTGTGTGATGAGTTTGTTGCTTAATTTAACAAGACACTCTAAAATTGCCCATTTCTGCATGAAGTTTCTCTCTCTGTCTACCAATTTGCAGACTTTTGGATCTACTACTTTGATGCAGGTTTTTAGTACACCTCAACATGAGGAAGAACTGTACATTGATGGTGGCAGAGCACTAGAACAGGCTGCCCAGGGGGATTGTGGAGTCTGTGGAGACACTCAAAGCCCACCTGGACATGTTCCTGTGTGACCTGCTCTAGGTGGCCCTGTCTTGGCAAGGGGGTTGGTCTATATTATCTCCAGGGGTCGCTTCCAACCCTAATGATTCTGTGAATTGTGCATTTGCCAGTAATCCCCCAGTGCAGCATGTTCAAGGACTTGATGCAGCACGAACTGTCACCCGTCCTTCTATAACACGATGCTGGAATGTGTTAAAAATGTCCCATGTTTCTACCAAAAGTTTGCCTCACGACCACCATGCAGCTGTCTTAATTGCCTGTAAGTGAATTTGGCTTAGGTTGTCATAGCACGAGTCGCAGTGAGTGTGATATCCTCCTGGAGCGTGCCCTTGCTGAAGTCGTGTTCTCCTGTGTTCATACAATTAGCTTTTAGGAGGGGGTGAGGTAGAGTTGTCTGCTTGCCAGCCAGAGAGCTGCTGATTGATAGACAGCAAAGCCAACAGTACGTTTTATGAAATTGACCCGCAAAACAAGCATGAATTTCATAAACTCAGTGTACTGATTTGTGGATTTGGAGCAATATTGATGTAGAAAAAACTAGGGCCATACTCTGACCTCTGAAATCAGGTTTCCACTATCTGCACCTTGGCACCACTTACCTCCAGAATTGCCTGGAATCAATAGCCTCGTCCATTTTGAGATGCAGAGTTCCCTGTGGATCTTAGCTACAGATCCAGCACATGCTCAAAAGTACAATAATCTTGAGAAGGAGCTGGAGATAGTCCCAGTGCTGTTCAGGAGCCAGGGCACATCCTACTCTTAAGTTAGCAGAGGGGCTCAGTGCAGGCTCCTGGGATCATACCTGCTTTCTTCAAACAGCTGAACTAAAAGCTGCACCAGAGCCCTTGTCCCTTTCCTGCGTGGGATACCATGGTATTTTAGAGCTTGCATTCGGGAAGCAAGAGACTGGGGTTGCAGGCTTTCCTTAGGCTGAGCTGCTTGGGTCTTTGTCTTCTGTGTCACC